TATATATATATATATATATATATATATATAATTTTTTTCTTCTTCTTCTTTTTCTTTCATTCATTGTATTTATTTAATTATTTACTTGACTCTGGTTGTGGGGAGGGTGGGATTAGAGGAGTAAATGTATTTTGGAAAAGAGAAAGAACAGTTACATGCACCATACCAGTATTTTCCATCTTCTTCAATCATTTTCCAAAATCTTCTACAACCTCTTTGTCCTTCTTGATTTTGTTTGTGATGTTCACTCAGTTTTTGGATTTTCTATTGCAATGTACTTGATATTGTCTTGAGATTAAAAACAGAAACTTGTCTATACTTGGACATATTGTTTTCAATATTTTCCCTCTTCTTTAATAATTTCCAAAATCTTGCACAATCTCTGTGTCCTTCTTGATTTTGTTTGTGATGTTCACTCAGTTTTTGGATTTTCTTTTGCAATGTAATTGATATTGTCTTGGACATATTGTTTTCTTGTTCTTCTTCATCTTTTCTTCATTTGATGGATCTGATAAAACTCAGTTGTTCTGTATAACAAGTGATTTTAATTTCCAAAACTTACCTTTTCAAAGCTTAATATCTGTATTTTGTTCCTTTACAAGACATTTAACTGTATACATATAGCAAGACAAGTTGTAAATAATGTGTTTTTTATGATATTCAGTTGTAATACAGAAGAATGGGCTTTCCATCTTTTAAAAATTATTAGGTTTCAATTTGCAGTGTCAATTGCTTCTCTGAAGAATATAGATGTAATTTTGTATTTTATCTATAATCTGGTACACAATGTCATTTGCTTATTCAACCTTCATTCTATTAATATGGTTATAGGAGGAAAACGGATACAGATTGTGTTGAATGTCTCACTAGCATGGACTTTCTATAATAAGTTTTCTGATCTTGCTAATGGAATATTCTTCTAATTTTTTAACAAGCACATGTATATTATCTTTACTTGAAGATAATTTCTGCTATCTCCAGCAATAGAAAAATATATAGTTCTTTTTGCATGTTACAACTTTCTTTAGGTGTAAATAACTGAGTTAGATTTTTATTATCAGTCTGCCTCATACCAGGTAAGTATTTTGTCTTTTGTTATCTGTGTATGATTAAGTATTAAACAAGTTCAAAAGTATGTAATTTTAATATAAATAGATGTTAATCATTAAGACTATATGATTTAGAGATACAATATACAATACAACAGCATTCCTAACATTTTTATTCTTAATATTTTGAACTCTCTGTTGGAGTCATTAAAGAAAAACTTCTGCAGATATCTTATTAATACTTTACAAAAAAACGTTTGCAGGTAACAGGTGGCATTGAAGCAGTGAGAGCCCACAATGAAGCTCTCATGCCCAAAGTGATAGAGGTCATGACATCGGTGTATAACTTAACGCAGAAGCTCTACGAGGATTATGAAATTCTTGACTTGCCATAGGAGTTGTGTTTGCTCTCATGCAAGAAGGAGTATGGACTTGTTTATGGAACTGCCATCTGAAAAATATTTTTAAATTTTTTTGCTGCTATTGATGAATGTGTGGAGAATATGGTAGGGGAGGCAAGAGTAAGAAGCATTGGTAGTCTTTAACCCTACACTGACAGTGCCAGAAATTTTGGTATGGCATTCATTTCAGTGACTACTGGAACCTTCTAGCCTTATCGAAAGGATGATTGCTGTTTACAGCTGGCCCTTCCCATTCATTTGCTAGATCGGGTCATGATGTGTATATACTTACCCGTCATGAAGGGTAGGTTTTCCATGAAAGCTATAGTTGTGCCCATCAGTAAAGTGTTAAGGGAGCTCCTTGCTTGCAGAACTTTAAGAATGAATATCTATAAGGAGGAATAATTTCTCTCTCTCTCTCTCTCTCTTTCCCTTCCTCCCCTCCCATCCCCTCCCCGCCCTCGCCCTCTCTTTTCCTCCCCCTCCCCCTTTTTTCCTCCTTCTCCCTCTCTTTTCCTTCCTCTCCCTCTCTCTGCCTTTCTCTCCTCTCCCTCCTCCCTCCCCCCTCCCTCTCTTTCCTGTTTTCTCCACTTTTTCTGTACTTTCATCTTTCTTTTTTATGCTATTGAATGGTAGAGGAAGTGTACTAAGAGGGGCTAGTGAGATTTTATGCTCTATTTGAGGGAATATAAACCATATAATGCAGTGGGAAATACATTTCACTTTACCTCACATCATAGAATTCAGTTGTAAAATGCGTTTTCAACATCCTTAGATTGTTAGATCACTTCACATACATTTTTAATTTTCAGTTTTCCACAAAAAATTAAATATACAGGGGTTTGATCTCTGCTACTGAGTTTCACAAATCAAATTTAACCCACTGATATGTAATGGTATTTGGCATGGATGTTAGTGCATTCACAAGAAAAGCTGGATTATAGGATTTTCAGTTTAAAAAATCTCTGGCTCATTTGTTTTTGTATGGTTGTAATTCAGTATGTACCCTTTTTCTGCATGCAGGCACATGTACAGACATAAATACATATT